CAGTAAACGTTGTTGTTGGAACTTCTCATTTGGAAGTTTTGTCTTCCCAGCCGAAGTGCTGTACAAAAGAACCTATGTGGCAAGAACTATGGGGTTGGGGAGGATGGTATGGGAACTAGTAGAATTAAATAAAAACCAAGAGGTTTCAGGAAGGAGACTACCAAAAGAGGATCCCAATTTGTGAAAGAAAAAAAAGAAAAAGAAACAGTAATAATAGTGATAGGGGCACTTAGGTTTTACAAAGTAGGTATGTGCACGCACACACATTTGTATGTGTAAAACGAAAACGAAAAAATTATATGTTTGTTAAAGTTGAGGCTTAAGTATATGTTATCTTTATATTTGAAAAACCCTGATGAAGTGTTAATGAAGTCATGGAACAACTGAAAGTTTCATGTATTTCTGCTAGGAATGCAAAATGATACAGCCACTTTGGAAAGCAGTTGGACAGTTTCTTAAATAAACATTCATTTACCTTTTGACCCAGAAGTTTTACATATTTTCCCAAGAGAAGTGAAAATGAAAATGACAGACCGGAACATAGGTACATCTCAAAAACAACATGATACGTGAAAGAGGCAACAAAAGACCACATACTGTATGCTTCTATTGATGGAAATTCTAGAAAGACAAAAGTATAGCAATAGAAGGCTAATCAATGATTCCTGGGCGTGGGGATAGGAATAAAAGGAACAGAAGCCTGGCGTGGTGGCTCATGCCTGTAATTGCAGTGGCTGAGGAAACTTAGGCAGGAGGATCATGAATTCAAAGCCAGCCTCAGCTACGGCGAGGCACTAAGCAACTCAGTGAGACCCTGTCTCTAAATAAAATACAAAATAGGGCTGGGAATTTGGCTCAATGGTCAAGTGCCCCTGAGTTCAATCCCCAGTAGCAAAAAAAAAAAAAGAGAGAGAGATGGAAATGTTCTGCATAAGAGTTGTAGTGGTAGTTACAAGATTATACATATTTCCAAAACTCATCCGTGTGTACATTCAAAAATAAGCAAATTTTAGTGAGTTAAGAATTATAAATCTTAAATCTAGGAAGGAAGGGAGGGAGAGAGGGAAGGAGAATAGAAAGCTTGGGTAAATGGACTTGGTTAATTTGGTCACATCTCATCTGAGATGTATGATACCTCTTGGAGGTGTTACTGAATCACTAACACCCAGACATGATAAATGAACAATGGCTGAACTGAT